TTTTGCGAAATGAACATCGGCGATTTTAAATGTTTTGTAACATTCGGTACGAAAAAATGTAATTCCGTGTTCTCAATCTCCTTACGAAAGAATCTTGTTTTTCCGGAATTGCACGAAATCCTCCGGTTAACAACCCTAGTTTTAATAAATTTAATTACATAGTGAATTGGGAATTAACGCATTTAAAGTTGCGCGATCGCGCAAATATTTCGTCTTGTGGAAAACGGCCTTTAAGGCCGTTAGACGAAACACGAGACGAAAAATTCGCGCGAAGCGAATTTTTTCGCCACGACGAAATGCTGTTTTGATTTCCACTTACTTTCTTTCGCGCTACTTTTTTTTCGTTGTCAACAATAAAAATGGCAGCAATAAGTTTACGCTGTATGTTTAACTTAAAGCAGTTAATACTTTTTTAGCATACTTTCTACTTTGAAGCATGTGAAAATTTCTTTCCGTGCATTAATATTAACATTTCTGCCTTTATATGTAAGATGTGATATTATTTTGTAATATAATCGTTTAATATAAGGTTTTTTTTTACAAGAAAGTATAAGAAAATAAATGCTAAACTCTGATATGAACATTTCTATTAAAAACTATTACTGCAAGAACGAACAGCAGGTTTAACTCTATAAAGAATTTTTTACAAAAAGGTTTATCTTTGTGTGGCCACTTGAAGATAAACATTCTTATGAAGTGTAACTTTCGTAATTGACAGTGTGAAAATTTATATTTGTAAATTTTCGATTTAGTTTTATATATAAGTCTGGTCATTTTTTTTATGTAAGTCTTGCCCCTTGTTTGATAAATTTACTCATGCTAGCCAATTTTCAGAGTAAGTTTATATAAAATTAATAAGAACGCCAGGTTAAGAATTTTGTTTTTTGTTACTTTAAAAACAACATGTTTTCGCTTTTTTTAAATGTTGACATCACGTGATGTTGCCTTTCAAACTCTTGTTTTTTTTTTATTAATCAAAATTAATTAAATTTACATCCCATAGGTTACATCCCATAGGTTACATAATTTACACCCCATAGGTTATTTAATAGCTGCTGTAACATTTAATTGATAAAATTATCCAGGAAATAGCCAGTTGAATTTAAAATGACCCATTACACAGGTAAATATTGTTGGCCGGGTAATAAAAACACTGAAGTGTAGTATCTTGTAGGAAGGCCTTGTTTTAAAGCATTTGGCATAAAGCAATTCCAGCAATTTTTACATAAGCAGTAATTTCGATTAAGCAACTTTTTATCAATTTTTAACTAATAAATTGTACTATAAGTGGTAAGATAAAAGAAGTAATTAATTAATTTGAATGACATTTATGTAAAAATTTTACACAATTGAATGACATTTATGTAAAAATATTTGTTACAAAAGTTTGAATGACAACTTTTACATGACTTAATTTAAAACTAATTTAATAAAAATATATAACTTTATTCTGAAAAAAAAAACATATATAATTTAATTTAGCGTTAAAAAAAATATAATTTAATTTTGATTTAAAAAATATTTGTAAGTTTATTAAAATTTAAAGTTAATGGCTTGGATTTAACTAAACTGTCTAACCTATTTAAAAATATTACTAAATATTTTTTTTATAACTTATGTAATTTTAATAAAATGATAAACTAATAAACTTTAAATAAATTGAATAAAATTTTTTAAAATAAAATCATTTGTAGTTGCAAAGCCGCAATTAGAAATTTAAGATATAATCATTTTATAAACTGAAAAATTTAACATATTAAATTTGAAAATTCATTTATGCAAATGTTGAGAAAAAAAGGAATTTGTTAATATCGAACTTTTTAAAAAATACAATATTAAATTTAATTATTGAAAATAATTAAAAAAATAAGCATTCCATTAAAATATTAAAAACAAAAAGCCGTTAAATAACATTTAACTTGTTTTAATTAAAATAATTAATTAATAATTTTAATTGAATTAATTAATTAAAATTATTGTAATTAAAATATAATTAATTATAATTAATTATTAAAATTAATTAAAATTAATTAAAATTATTGCAGTAATTAAAATTAATGGTAATTAAATGTATATAAATAAATGGTAATTAAAATGATAAATAAATTGTAGTTAAAATGGTAAATAAATTAAAATGGTAAATAAATGGTAATTAAAATTATTGCAGTAATTTAAAAGAAATAATGTCTAAAAAAATTAACAGAATTTTATATTGTCAAATATCGCGTTAAGCTAATGCATTAAGCATTTTTTTATTTAAAACAAGGCCTGCTATGGGGAACTCGCTGCAGCTCTAGATCGAACAAAAATGTCAGACTGCAAGGCTGTTTTTGTTATAGCAGAAACTTCCAAAAGCTTAGGACAGAATATCAATGAATTTGCTCTTAACAGAGACTCAATTCGCCGGCACAGATTGGAACACAGAGTCCAGAGATCTGCAAATATAAAAGCCAAGTTTCGGGATAACGTTCCTCTTGTTGTTCACTGGGACGCAAACTGA